TGCCAAAGATGATGAAAGCATGTGGCTGATAGCGGTTTGGTGAGAATATCGGCTGGTTGATCAAATGAGTTGATATGCTGAACAATGATCTCCTTGGCTCTAATGTGATCACTAATGAAGTGATAATCTATTTCGATGTGTTTGACCATGGCGTGAAAGACCAAATTTTTTGCTAGTGCCAGGGCTGAAGTGTTGACATAGTAGAGGGATGTAGCTGAGGCTTGAGCTGCCTGAAATTCTACCATTAGATGTCAGAGCCAAATGACATCCGACTTTGTTGATGCCAATGCTCTATATTTAGCTTTTGTGGAGGATTTCGCCGTGGTTTGCTTTTTAACACTCCATGAGATCAATGTGTCACCTAAAAAAAGTATAAAATCCTGTGGTGGATTTTCGGTCAGAGAGATCAGCGGCCCAGTTTGCATCCGCATATGTACTCAATTGAAGGTGGCTACGAACGACGAGAAGGTTATATTGAAGGGTACCTTGAATGTAATGGAGCAATCTTTTGAGTGACTAGTAATGGTCGTTTGTAGGATTGTGCATATGCATATTTGATTTGTGGCGAAGGCAATGTCAGTTCGCGTAATGGTGAGACCTTGGAGTGAACCGACAGGTAATGACCAGGATTTTCGAATGGCTGATCTGCTGCTTGACATTGGGAAGGTTTGGTAGACATGGGTGTAGTGGCAAGTTTGCAGTTTTCAAAACTGGAGGCCTTGCGGATATCTCTAGCATAAAGGGCCTAATTGAGGAAGTAATCATGAGAGGTGTGCTGAATGTCAATGCCCAAGAATAAGGAGACCGAACCCAGCTCCTTGAGAGTGAAGGTGTCTTGTAGTTGAGAGATGATTTGCCGAACGGTTGGGAGATGACTACCTATGATAAGCATGTCATATACATACATTGATAAGTAGATTTGGATGTTTGTGTTATTGTAAATGAGTAAGGATGGATTGGGTTTGCTATAGACGAAGCTGAGACTGAGGAGAAATGAAGTAAATTTGTGAAACCATTGCCGTGGAGCTTACTTGAGCCTGTAGATAGGCAGATAGCTTTGTGGAGCTTGCAACTGTGATGAGGAAACTGAGCATCCGTGAAGCATTGAAGTTGACGCATGTAGACAACCGCCTGAAGATCACCGTGAAGAAAAGCATTGGAGATGTCTAGCTTAATGACGTTCCAATGGCGATGATGAGCAATGGTAAGTAATATGCGAATCGTGGGGATTTTTGCCACAGGATTGAATGGCTCTTGGTAATCAATGTCGTGTGTTTAATTGAATCCCTGAGCCACTAATCTAGCTTTGTAGCAATCTATTTGTCCATCAGGACTGAGTTTTGTCTGATAAGTCCAACAATAGCTGAGAATAGGCTGATTGGAAGGAGTTGGAACAAGCAGGTACTTTACTTTTGCAATGCTAGAAATTCTTCGGACATGGCTGACCGCCAATGCTTGAATTTCACCTCTTGAGTATAACCGGTAGGAGTGGAGTTGGGTTGAGTAGTGGCCAAGAGGTCAAAATGGGCTTGGGTTTGAGATGGTCGGTTTTTAGGCGAGTCTGCATTCGATGAGGGGTGATAAGAGGTGGTTGGATTGGAGTTAAAACTGTGTTGGGAGATGCTGATGGCGTTGGAGTTGGTGATGGTTAAGGAGGATAAGTGGGCATTTGAAGTGATAGTAGGTGTTGAAATAGTGGATTTTAGTGGAGGTTGTGGTGATGTGGATAGAGTGGATATTGGTACCAGTAGTAGAAGAGAGTGGAGAGGGGAAGAGGATGTGGAGATTGTATATGAGGAGTTAGAAGTATAGGGAAAGGTTTGTTCATGAAATGTGACATGGCGAGAGATGTCGATTTTCTTGGAGATAGGATTGTAACATCGATAGCCTTTGTGAGATAGCCAAGAAAATTCCAGGCCTTATAGCTGGGGGAAAGTTTGTGGCTGGTTAAATGTTTGAGTTGCAGAAAACATAGGCAACCAAATGTGTGTAGGTGAGTGTAAGTAGGGGGTTGGCCGTGAATTAATTGGAAGCGTATTTGAAAATTGCGAGCTATAGTGGGAAGCCTGTTGATAAGGTAATTGGAAGTGAGGACGGCTTTAGCCCAGAAGCCAAATGGGAGAGAGGCAGCATTTAGAAGTGTGCGACTAGTTTCTAGTAAATGTCTATTTTTGCGTTCAATAAGGCCATTTTACTCTGGGGTGTAGGACTATAGGGACAACTCATCTGATGTTTGATGTAATGATGAAAAGGAATTACTGAAAGTTAGAACTGGTGTATTTGCCACCTTCATCGGAGCGGAGAATTTTTATTTTAGAGTTGAATTGGTTTTTAGCCAGTTTAATGAATTGGTAGACTTTGGATAGTGTTTCTTCTTTGTTATGCATTAAGTAGAGCCAACAAAATCGAGAATAATCATTAATAAACGTCACGTAATAATGATAGCCGTTAAAAGATGAAACTGGGGCTAGTACCCAAGCATCATAATGTATTAATGATAAATGAAAACAAACATGAGGAGAACTATTTGAGAAGGACATCTTGTGGCTTTTGGCCACTTTACAGGACTACATAAAACTGATATAGGGGAAATATATAAAAAAGGATAAGTTGTGGCTATAGTATGCATGGCATAAACATTTGGATGAACAAAACGTGCATGCCATAAAGAGCTGGAGGAGATGCTGCTGTGAACTGCTGTAGGGAAAGGTGAATGACTGGCGGAGATAGGGTAGATGCCATCACGGCTGCGACCACGAAGGAGAATTTAGTCTTATGAGAGATCCTTGATGGTGAAGCCCGAGGAATCGAAGGAAATGGAGCAATTTTCAGGCATAAGCTTGTGTATAGAAAGAAGGTTGTGAGATAGAGAAGGAACATGAAGAAGGTTGTGAGGAAAAAGCTTACGAGTGGAACAGGAAGAGGAAGTATTCATTGGCCACTGTTGTAGATTGGTAAGGAGCTGCCATTGCAATCGAGATGCTATCTGAACCATAATAAGGGGCAGATTGCTGGATGCTATTGGCGTCATCTGTCAGATGTGTGTAACGCCATAGTCAAGCACCCATTTCGTAGGAGTGGGTTGTTGTTGAGAGAAGAGTGCACGAGGTGTCCAGTTTGATTGTGGTGCATATTGCAAGTTGCACCGATGGCAGCATGAAAGAGCAGCGTGGCTAGATTTGTTATAGATTTGACAAGTGTATGTGGATTTGGAGAAGTTGATTGTCGTCTGCCCGCAGGAGATAAGTTGATTCCTCACTACAGAGTAAGGAATAGAGTACATCTAAGCTGATTGGATGAAGAGATGTACGAATGGATGTTTTGAATGAATTGTATGCAGAAGGCAATCCATTGAGGATATATAAGATTATATCCTTTGAGTCAACGTGAGAACCAGCAACAACAATGTTGTCTACTAGCGCCTTGATTTGAGTGAGATATTGATTCATGGTGCTATCTCCCATTTGGATGTGGTGTAATTCATTTTTCAATTGAATTACACAAGATATATTTGTCAGTTGAAGTTTGAGTTCTAGAGTGATCCAAATTTCATGAGCATTTATTAGATTAAGAATGTATGGAAGAATGGACGGTGATATGGTCGTGAAAAGAGCAGAGACTAGATTCTGGTCGATTAGATGCCACCGATAATCGGTAATAACATAAGTGGATGAGTTGGTGGAAGGGGCGGGCTCAGGTGGACAACGAGTTCGGCTGGTCAAGTAGCCGTCAAATCCATTCGCCTACAAAAGTTGGTAGACTTTGTGGCGCCAGATCAAATAGTTGTCATTGGTGAGCTGTGTGTTGACAATGAGTTTGATATTGGACATAAGAAATTTGAGTGGGGAGGGTATAGTGTATTCAGCCATTGAAGCTGAGAGAGAGGTGGAGGAATGGGTGCTATATGAATCATGATCAGCCATTGATGAATTATTAACCCAATCAATATCTTATAATTTTATCATCTTGGATTAACCTAGTGAATCTAGTCTTCTAATAACAGTGGGCTTGAAGGTCATATTGTTCCGGAGGCAATTAGCAATAATAGGTTACTTACTATCATATATGGCATGTATATCATAGTGATGAGCATGCTTAAGGACACTCACTCTCTTCTAAGGAGATCTTGTGATTTAAACATGAATCAAATTAGTGCATATAAATAAGTATGACTACCACTAATTCAAATGTGTTTTTACAGACCATCGATGCACATTGCATTGGATTTGATCGATCCATATAGAGGTTAGCTCCAAGATATTTAAAATTGTATACTTGGATATTGGGGTTTTGTTTGTCATTGAGAGGGGGCATACCCCACATAATCAATAATTTCCATAAAGAAGTATTGTACATTTATCACAGTATGAAGGAGTAACATATTAACATCCTAACCTACTACCATATTAAAAGCAACACATCAATATTGTAACATAATAACAAATTATGCAAAGTATCAAATAACAAATAATCTTACACAATAATTCATGCACAATGAAAAATAAGTTAACAAAGTAGAAGCGTTATGAAAACATCAAAGTAAGATAAGATATCTAAGAACTAATAAAATAACAATTCAAAATAAGTTTATATAATAAGTTTCTCTTTTCTACTCCTGTTGTCCAAGATCGAAATAAGAACATATAAAGTAACTACCTAGCAAGATTATAATTTGTGAAATCAAAAGTCTTTAGCATTCTCATTACTCAGGAGATCTTAAGATCTTCATTAGGGGTGTGAACAAGACAATTTTGATCCTATCCAGCACTAGCTCAAAATCCATTTGAACCTATATAAGTCGACTTGAAATTGGCTCTTGGCTCAAATTGATTTCATTTCGATCCAGCTTTGCACAATTCAACCTGATTTTGATCCACTCAAAATCATTTATTTCCCCGTTTTCTAATTTTTATGAATATTATATATGCATGTATGTATACTTGTAATTTACATATACTTATTCATGCATATTAAATTTTAAAAATAGACATTATTTATATTTGGAGCCAGATTGTGCCAATTTCGAGTTGGCTTGAGCTAAGCCAAAAATTTTGCTCATGTCTTGATTCATTTTACTTGATCCAAGCTCAATCCGAGGAAATAAATTATTCAATTTTTGAGCTAAAATCTCTGTCCTAGTCTTCATTGGAGTCATCATCATAATGAAGTTCTTTCTCTCCTTCCTCATCCTCAAATTTTTATCCTCTTCTCGATCTCAATCATCTTCTTCTTCCGTAGTTAACAATAATTAATAAAAATTTAAGAATATTGTTTAAAGTTTGAAGCAACTATTTATTAAATGTCCTGAAAATTTTATTAAATCTATTTATTGTTATTTGTTAAGCAACATCTACTCTAAATTAGGCACGCCCCACAAAAATTGAGGCAAGGTGCACCTCCTATTATGTGAGGCGTACTCCTCACATACCAAGGCATCAGGTTTGCACCTCATGGATAAATTTAAAAAAAAAAAATTAAGACATGCTTCATATTGCACAGTTTTAAATGGTGATTAGCTCAAAGGCTTAATGTGCGATCAATTCAATGATTCAAGATCTAATTGGGCAAATATGACTAGTAGTGTAGTTAAGACATTTTTTGAGGCTATGATCCATATCAGACATTTGAATTGATGCCATCCTTGAAATTTCACTACTGAGGTGAGCGTAGAGAACTTGCTGACATATCCATGAGGTGATTCGGATAAGGAACTCTGGGTTGGCTTAAGTTCAATTTGGAATGCAGTTGACTCTAAGAAAGGTCCCAAAATCAGGACTTTCTCTGCTTTGGAGAGTATTTTGTTCACACACAGTTGACTAATCTCGATTTCAGAAAAGGCAGGACTTACATTCTAGGGAAATCCCACAAATGGACTGCTGGTTTTTCTCCTCTCTCTCTCTCTCCCTCTCTTAGTAGCAGCTGGCATCTTCCTATAGCCAATCCAAGGAGACAAGTTTCCAGTTGCTGTCCTCGCCGTTTCCTATTATCAATGAATTTATTCAACAAAGAATCACTGCAAAATCATTTATTTGTATTCCATATAAAGCCTAAAATCCTTGAGTAGATATTTCCTACAGGTTCCGAAAGAGTTCTACATCCCAATTTTGGATTATGGATAGCAGCGATAGCTTCATGCTTATAGCTAAATAATGATTTATCTACAGTTGGTATTCTAAGAATTCAATTTTGCCATCAAAGATGACCTCGATTCTGCCAAGATCCAATCACCAGTTGCAAATCATAGAAGGGGATGGCAATGTTTGTTTCAGTTGCTATAATAATGGTGGAATTTTATAAGATCTACTAAATTGGAAGATAGTCAGAGAGATGAAAGCATAGATCATTCTGAAAGGTGGATTTTTTTCATCATTATTTTTTGGTTCAGCCAAGTTGTGTCGCTTCAAAAATAAAATTTATTTAGAACGTTTTGTGATTAAATTATTACAATTGTCAAAAAAAAAAAGTCCGTTTTGGGATTTTTTTTATCCACTTCCATCTGTGCGTCCTGGCCTTCATTTTCACAGATTTTTTCAGCATTTCCATCTTCATCTGTTTGTGCAAGCCTATGTGATGCGGATCATTTTATGCATTTTATGCCTTAAGAAATACTTTACCCTTTTTCTGTCATTTATGTTTCTTTTTTTTCTTCCCGCTATTATAGTTTGCTTTTCTGTCATGTTAGCACAGAATTTACCTTTTTGGCTGTTAGAGCTTTTTTATACAAGGTGCAAGTGTGCATCTTCATAGAGAGCGCGCGCATATATATATATCTCCTGAGGATATGAAGAGAGTTAATGAAAAAGTATTATATCCTTTGAGTTTCCTGGTTTGTGTTATCTGTTCGAGTTTGCAATTCCTTCTTCCAACGACTATCAAGTCACTGGGTATCCACCTGTTACCACCCCGAAAGGGTGCTTGGCGGCGTGACTAATTCTCGGCTGACCTAGAAGAGGCACCCACCCTAGAAATCTGCTGGCCCGCACTTGATTGGCCCGCACTTAAGAGGCGCTGCCGCTCGAGGGAAATCGAGCACGGGTTGGGGGTTCCCAACCGTACTCGCCCACCAACCAAGCTAAGCAACCATGGGTAGGTGCTGCAAAAGCATAGTGTACTGTTTTAATTTATCAATTATATTTTTGTCAATCAGTGATCTGGGTTCTAGGACTGATCTTAGAGATTCAATTCTTTCTAATTAGTTGGAGGCTTGGAGCTTTAGCTTTGTTCAAGTGTTCAATTTGTTGTGAAAACTTTCCAGTTTCCTCAAGATATAAAAACTTCCGTGACCAAAAGAAGCTGAAAAATTCCTTTCAGAAGGCCTTGGAAGAGAATTTTACCATATAATGTTCGAAATATTTATGACTGAAGTGGTATTATTTTTCCTAATATTTTCTGCAATTCAGTCTAATTCTCTGCGGAACCAAATATTTTCTGAGGGATTTGATTTATGCCTCTCGTTTAGGCCAAATTTTTAATAGAAACAGGAAATTTATAATGCGATTGGACAATGATATATCTTGGTAGAACAACATTTTTATTGAATTCGTATCTTGTAAGCAATATTTTTTCTGATTTTACCGTTTATATATGATTCCCTGTGTCAAAAACTTGGAACGGAAAGCAATTATTTCAAAAGTGATTTTCTAATAATCTGATTTCGATTACAAATAGCTGGCAGCGGCACCAAAGCAGAAGATAAGAATCAAGCTGAGATCATACTGGGTTCCCCTCATTGAGGACTCATGCAAGCAGATCTTAGAGGCAGCCAGAAGCACCAATGCCAAGACCATGGGACCTGTCCCTCTGCCTACCAAGAAGAGAGTTTACTGTGTTCTCAAGTCTCCCCATGTGCACAAGGATGCTCGATTTCACTTCGAGATTCGCACTCATCATCGTTTGATCGATATCCTGTACCCAACCGCGCAGACGATCGATTCACTCATGCAGCTTGATCTACCAGCTGGTGTTGATGTGGAAGTTAAGCTCTAATTTTTCAGTCAAAACTATTTGTCTCTGGCTCCCAACCTAAGCATTTGTATTCATTTTGTGCTCCAGATTGCAATCAATTGGAGAATAGACTGTATGTGATATTTTATTTAGGACATTCAGAAATGGAAGCTTGGTGCAGAAGTATATACATTTCACTAGAGGAGGTTTTCATAACTACAAGAAGATTCCGCCGAGAAACTTGGCTCCCATTGGTGTGACAGCGGGTAGATAACAGGGATAAAGGGAGCCAAATTTCTCGGCGGAATCTAGCGAAGCCACCCACCGGCATCGGACTTACACTTGCTTTGTCCCACTGAAGAGGCGAGGCCGTAGTAGAGAGGATTCGAGCCCATAATGGAGGGTTTCCAATCGTGCTTGCCCACCAACCACCCTAAGCCTCGGTGAGTGTTTTGTGGGTGTTGAATGCATTACAAGTTAGGGATACATTACATATGTTGAGGGCGATGGGCATGACATAGAAAAGTGTTTGAGAGCAGGTTTTGCTGGTGATGACCGCAACGCAGATCTTGCAGATGAGGGTTACTCGTAAGATTTCTCATAAGAATTGGACGATTTTGTAGAATTGCCCCAAATCAATTTTTTAACTTTTATGAAGAATATTTTAATCCTTGATATTAAGCTAACAACAACTCATCATCAAATGCGCTGATTAATGAAACATTAATCTTCACTAAGGCCCGTTTGAGACAACTTTTGTATTGCTTTCTAAAGCAGTTTTTCAGAATAATTTTTTTTATTAGAAAGTTGGTTTTAAAAACAGTAAGAAAACTGTCTCAAATGAAGCCTAAGAGTATTTATGCTTCATTGGGGGTGGCTTTCTTACTGCTTCTTGAGGGGACTAGTAAGCCGCTTTAAGAACCATGAAGAAAATCAATCTTCAATATTATTTATCTCAAATAGAGATCTTGCATGCACTTCTTATTGCGCTAAGGCTTTGTTTGGGACAGCATTTTTATTGCTATCTAAAGTAAATTTTTAGTATAAATATTTTTTAAATTAGAAATTTTTGTATTAGAATATTATTTTAGAAAACATTAAGAAAACTATTCGGCAATAATGTAATATTTTGCTTTTTAACGGATTAAATTGCAGTCAACTAAAATAAATCATCTGAATCTCTACAATTATCATTGTTATTTTAGAGGAATCAGATAAAGCGTAGATAATCTGAAAAATCCCTTGTAATAAGGAGAAATTATTTTTTGTGGACACTGGACAGTCCAAAGACTAATCAAAACGCGCCACACTATCCAGTACACAGCGATGCCAAGCATCGATACCGAGCAAAAAAGTAACATGATGCGTCCTGATTGGTCTCTGGACGCCATCTGACGTCCGTGCAAAATAAATTTTATGTAATAAGAGAGTAGTTGAGCTGTGGATCCATCCATTCCCTACCTCTTCAACCTTTTTCTATTAGACTCCATATGCTTGTAGCTTATATACACATCAGCTCTAATGGGTATCTTCAATCCACTCTTATGTTATTTGTCTCTTATTTTCTATCGTTTTGCAGGCATTATACATATTGGGAGGGTGAGAGAAGAATTTCATCTCTTACTATTTTAAATATAAAATAATGGCAAACAAATATATGAATAAATAAAATGTGTTCGAGCATTCTAATAGCAAGCTATTATCTTGTTTTCTTATCCTTCCTCCCTTATATTGATATTAGATAGGGGTGTCAATTCGGGTCAACGGGTCGAGTTCGGGTCGAACCCGGAACTGACCCGGCACTGTTCGGGTCAACTCGAACTCGACCCGTTTTTAAAAATGGGTCAGGTTTCCAGACTCGAACCCGACCCAATTCTGGTTCGGGTCAACCCGACCCGACACGAATGACCCGAAATTGATCTAAAATTGCTAGTTTTCGGGTCAATCTCGGGTTTCCGAGTCAAATAGGAGTTTTCATATCAATTTCGGGTCAATTTCGGGTTGCTGGGTCAACCTGAACTCAACCCGATTTTTAAAACGGGTTGATTTATTGAACCCGAACCCCACCCATTTTGGGTCCGGGTTGACTGTAACCCGGATTTTTGCTGGTCGGGTTCGGGTCGTATCAAAAATTTACACCCCTAATATTAGAGCTTGTTTCTCTATTTTTCAATGAATATATTTAAATAATGGTGTCTACAATAATTCATAATTGTGATTACGACCATTAAAAGATCAAATGAAGACCGTTGTAAGAGCTAACGAGTCCTACAAGTAGTCATTAAGAGATTCATAATAAGAAGACATTCAAATATTAGTGATATGATTTTCCAATAAGAATTGCTAAGAGATATATGGAGATAGATAGTCATTATGTACCTCAAGTCATATTCCTAAGAGGCATTCCCTAAAGAGTCATATGAATGTAATTTTTATTTTATTTAATAAATATTTATTTCATTAAATCCATATTTATATTCCAAATTAATTTATCGAGTAAGATTTATTTTTGTTAGAAAAATTATATGTAGGTATAATTTGAAATTTTAATAAATATAAATATACGATTAAAAATAAATATAAAAGAAAATATAAAAAAGAATATGCATAGAATATTTTTTTTTTGGTGTAAGGAAATGGAATTCAATTGTAGCTCAATTAATGCATTTTGAAGCTTTACTGTATTTTAGAGTGGAATTTTTTTTTTTTTTCGGTTGGAGATGCTCTAATGTTTCACTCCATAAATAAAATCATAATTGAAAATAATAATTTTTTGTCTAATAAATATATAAACTGTGTGTATATACTATTTTTTTAATTGAATGATAAATATTGTAAATAAAAATATATATTTAAATATGAATTAATTAAATAAAATCACATTAGCCATCACAATAAGTCATAATAAGCTCAAAGCCTTAGCCCAAATCTTCAGAAACAGTCTCAGTAAGCAGTTCCAAAAGGACAACATCAAACACAAGAGAGACAAAACACCCTCCGGCCTCCTCACTACCAACAAACTGCTACCCTCCACCTCGACTTCGTGATCCCAACCCACCGGGGGACCCATTCTCGCTCGGCCCGGCCCGGACCGGCCCGGTCATCCGGCGCTAGACACCCATTGGGATTTGGACGGGTGGCGCGCCGTTCGTTACGCCGTTCGATACTTTTCGTACGTATCCGCGCCTCCCATTGGTTGGAACTGTCTGCCGGTGCGTCACATCAGCACCGATTCCAAGAGTGGTTTTATGGGTCAAATTCGCGGTCCCAGTTGAGAGTCCTTCTTGGCGACGTAATCTACAAAAGGGTAGATGCGTGAGGTGACTCAGGTGATCGGTTATTGTGGCTTGTGGGCAGGTTACGAGGGCATATATGGAATATGGAAGTTAAGAAGAATACTTTACTAATAATATTAGTAAAGTCATATTCAATTATTTATATTATTTTTTTATTTCAGCTTCCAACTTTATATGCAATTCCCTATGTCTTTGGAGCTTCTTAGTTGGCCCCATCTCCTCATCCTTGAGATATCTTATCTTTTTTCATTTGAGTCAAAAGAGAAAGCATATATATGAGAAAATTAGAGGCATAACTCAATACTATTGATTAAAACAAAATTATAAGTGTGAGAGCAAAATCAAAAAAATAAAAATAAAAAGGGAGCCTTCATAAAAAAGCGAAAGGCTCCAAAAACTTCCTCTAGTATACTTGAAAGAATAAAAAGAGACGAAGTCCCAAAATAATGGCAAAATAATTGTCAGGCATGGACTCCGAATAGTGTAGGATGATCATAAAAATAAACGAATGCAGCAGCTTCCCTGGTTGCTTAGAGGCCATCCAAGGGAAGGCCCAAAATTACAAAATCTACTAGACCAAAAAAAGGTGGCACAAAAGACATTATATAAGCTAAATACACAGACCTGTCTAGGGAAACCGAAAGGGGGAATCAAGACAACATAACCAAGCCAACAATGACCAAGACATACTAATCAAATCACATCAATATTAAATCCATCAACAATTCTCCATTTCTCAATTTAGAAATCTTCAATCTAACCACTCTAATAATCTTAAGACAGAGAGTGATAGCGCATACAACGGACGAACTAAACTTCCTATTGTTTCATTCTCTCCAAAGGTGATAAATAGTGGCATTAAGTACAAGCAGAAGTCCATTTTTGTAGCTCTTAGTTCTAGTCACATTCCCAACAAATTCAAATGAAAGAGATATATTCGTCCTTAGAAGGAAAACTTGAAAAGTAGGCAGTAGGAGAAGCAGCAAAGAAAAGGAGAGTTCGCAATAAAAAAAAAGGTGAGTAAGAGTTTCAGTGTTGTTCCATCAAAAGCAATAGGCATGGTCTGAGATTTGAATGTTCCTTTTAGAAAGCTCATCAATAATTTTTAAACCTCATTTAAAAGCCATCCAAGAGAAAACAGAGAAGCGGAGATAGTGTTTCTTATGCTAAACCATGAGGTATATATATATATATATTAGTCAAAGGTTGTGTCATTAACAAAAATTTCATAGTATAAATCCTTGAAAGATGCATTAGGCTTATCCTCCCATGTTAAATGGATAGAGTTTGTCAAGATGGGTATAACAATTATAACATCTCTAACATTAAAACTAATAAATTTAGGAAGAGCCCAGGTGTTGTTATCCATCCAATCGGCCAGGCGGTCAGCAGCAGTAAACAAACTCAATAGTGATTGCTCAGGAAAGGCAATAGAAAGCTGTGGAGTTGTGCTGAAGGGGTTTCTAAGGTGAGATGTATCTTGTTGCTAACCACTTGGAGAGGGGGGAAGGGTTGTTATATAATCTACTAATTCTAGCAATGTTATAAGAAAATATGAGACCCTGAAAGTAAAGCATAGGTTTGCAAGTATTAGCCCACAAGATAAGGTGGAGTTGGTTGGCTTACGAACCCCCAAAATATATGAATTTTGCATATAATTTCCCAATAGCCTAGCAAGTGGTCTTGGGAATGATAGAGCCATGAATCTAGTAAGTCACAGTGTTGATAATAGTGAATTTGACTAACTGCATCCTACATGCAAAAGAGAAAAGTCTTGCCTACCAACTAGAAAGTAAGTTAGAGATGTTATCAAGAAGGGGGAGGAGGGAGTCTGAAATTTTGGGTTTATTTATAGAGATGGGAAATCCAAGATATGAGAATTTAGTGCAAGTGTTCGGGATCTGGAGAGCAAGGGAGATGGGAGGGGAATTGAGAGTTTGAAGTGAGATGATGAGAAAGCATTTATGTAGATTGAGATGCAGACTAGAGGAATTGGAGGAGGATAAAATGCTCATAGGGTGACTAGAATTATGAACCTTTGCTTTCCCAAACACCAGAAGGTCAACCGCATATAATAGGTGGGAGAGGTGAAAACCGTCGTCCAAAGTAAAGCCTTGGAACAAAAGGATACGACTGGCTCTGGTTATCAAGGAGGTAAAACAAAGCATCCATGATAATACATAAGAGATAAGGGCTAAGAGGACAGCCTTGTCTAAGCCCCGAAGAGTAGGAAAAAAAGCCTTCTAAAGCCCAGTCCATGCAAATGGAAAAGTGTACATACGAAATACAAGCTTTTATCCAGTTAATAAAAAGGGGTGGGAATCCCTTTTGAGCCATTCTCGAGATAAGAAAAGCCCCGATAAACTATATCGAATGCTTTACGAATATCAAATTTTGCACATAGGAACTTGATATTGTTGTTTTTCTTAAAGAGGCTATAAATTTCAGCAGTCGAGAGGGAGTTGAGCATGTTTTATGGTATGGAAGAGCTAATGGGAATATGATGAATATCTACAAGGGGGAGCATGGGAATTGAAGAGCTCCTTTTGTCAGTTTGTTAAACTGTTGATCTTGCAAAGAGCCAAGAATCGCCGCAGAAAGACCACTCATGATGGTGGGTAATCACATGTCACTTATTTATAAAAGAAAATGTCAAGCGACCAAAATACATGTGTCAAATTTTGGTGAGTAGAAAATGTGGTTTATTGAGAGGTGTTAAGAAATAATCAATGAAAAGTATTAGAAGTCAGATAATGGATGATGTTTTGCTTAGTTGTCGTATGTATAAAAGAACATATCGGGTGATAAAAAAGACAAGCAATAAACATTAATGACTACTAGTCATGAAACATCAATCATTAGCAAACATTGAGTGATGATTAGTTAGGATTGTCAGAAGTCAAACCCCTATCTATATGATAAGAGTACTCTCATTCCTTCATGACAAGATTTTTTCTAAAGATTCTACTGTATCTATCTACCTCTATCATCAATTTATAAACTTTGTCATCATCAAGAACGTGTTGCATATGAAAATATTAGTCAATCACTATCTCAAAAGCCTCTCACTTTCAAAGATGATTTGAGAGACACACTTGTATTTCTATTTTTTATATAATATATTAATTTTTAAAGCACATATTAATATGATTTTTTTCTTGAGAGTTAAGAATTTATTATGTCAAATGACTTCATTTAATAGACTTTTTTAATATGAAAACTCAACGAAGTATAAATAAGTCATGTAAGGGCATCTCCAACCGAAAACTTCATTTTTCACGGCAAAGTAACGCAAAACTCCAAAATGGCGCGGTGATGCTACAATCGAACGCCATTTTAGGTGTTTTTGAGAAGGTAACGATCGCCCTTCCTTTCGCGCGTTTTTCCGGTTGAGAGCAAAAAATGGCGTGAGTGAACAGTGCGACGCCAATATTGGCGTCGCACTGTTCATCCGCGATCAAATGGGGTAAAAAATGGCGATCGGTTGGAGCAAAACAAGAACGCAAACAAGTGTTTGCCGTTCGGTTGGAGATGCCCTAAGGCTCAAACTCCTATTTGCTCAGTATCAGCGCCACTACCCTCTTCCCTTTCATCAGAATCGCAAGAAAAACCAAAACTTGAAGCTCCAAAGCCCAAATGGAAAACGCAGAGGAAGAGAAGGAGCGCGATAATACCCGCGGGTACAACATAAACGATAATCACGACCTTCTCGCCGAGATCTTCGCCCGTCTTGATGGCCCTTCCCTCGCTGCCGCCGCCTCCGTTTGCCGTCTCTGGCATGCGGTGTCCCGCCGGGACACCGTATGGGAGGCCCTTTTCAACCGCCACGTGGCCGCCGATTTTCCCGGCACGAGAGCCGTTGTTGCCGCCTTAGGCGGATACCGGCGGCTCTACTGCCGCTGCGTGGGCCCCATTGCCGACCGCCTCGCAGTTTCCGGAGAGCATGCAACTACGACGGAGGCGGCGGCGGCGCGGCTTTCTTTGTCATTGTCGCTGTTCTCTATCGACTGCTACGAACGGCTTGGCGACGGCGGCTGGCAACGGCCGTCGTCGCTTCTTTTTTTGAGAAGCCCTGTTGATGTCTCATGATGCTGCAGGGTAAGAATGGAGCCGGCTCGGGGTTTTTAAATTTTTATGATTTCACTGATGATTGTTTTTTTTTTTCCCGTGATGCTATGATTGCTATAGTGATTTATGGGTTTGAATCAAATGTTAAAAAAAAAAAAAATCAAGTTTGGTACTTTCAATCTCATCCAGATTGTATAAAACTGTGTGAGAGAGAGACAGATAATTACAAATTTGAAAGCTAACTGAAGAACTTTTTTTTTTTCAAGAATTTGTTCATTTGGCTTGATGAAAAGGGAATGCTTAGCACAATTTTGCTGAATTTCAAGTGTACTTTTAATGCGTTTAAAACTCGTTTTTTTTTTAATCAAAATTCAAGTACATCCCAAATAGATTTCGCTCTTGGAGAAATTATTCTGTGCGGAGATCGGACACAAAACGTCGTCCGGAGATCAACCAGAATATGTCACGTCAGCAATACAGAGCCGCGGTTCCAGTGCACGGGTGACGTGGCGCATTTTGGTTGGTCTCCAGATGACGATCCTGCTCTTTTCATCTCCTATTGCTATTTGCCTTGTTGCTCTCCATCATCATTAAGCTTTACATTATATTTATTTTATTTTAAATTAAATTAAAAATTAATCATATTTATATTTATTTACAAACAGTTTCTAATATTTTAAAAAGAGAAAATATCAAAATATTACTTTAACTCTTTATGAAAGAGGTCTTCACTATCATTGAATAGAAAAGTTGAGCAACTAAGGTTTTGTTTTGAATAATTTTTTTAATATTTGCTTTTCAGGTAGCATCTACCATTTCTATTTGATCACTATTTTTAGTAAATTTTTATACTAGTAAATTGCTTTCTACAATAATTTTCTAAGAAGTTACTTTCTTCATAACAGTTTTACAACCATCTTTATAAAAAGTTGTGGATGTTCCAAACTAATCCTAATGCTTCATTTGGGACAAAATTTTTACTGTTTTTTACAACAACTGTTTAGCATAAAAATTTCTTGAAAATAGTAAAAAAACAGTGATCACAAACGGTCCCAAACGAAGTCTAAGATTTCGTTTGGGACGGCTTTCTTACTGCTTCTTAAATCAATTTTTTAGTACACAAATTTTAATTTATATACTACAAAAATATTTTAAAAAACAGTAAATAAACCGTCTCAAACGAAGCCCAAATCTAAATTTAAACTCGACTGATTTGGATTTAAATGTAAAATTGACATCTAGTCGTATAATAGTTCGATATAAAATACACTAATTCAAGGTTGAATAAGCAAAATCGCTTTGAATAAAAAATTAATTTTAATATGTGTGCCTTTGGTAAATTACAGAACCAGAAAGATCAGAACCTTAGTTCCATTGTCCTAATTATCAGGAACAAAGCTGCAAACAAAAAGAAGAAATGCTTTATGCCAGCTTCCATATAATGGAGACCAAAAAATCTTCTTTGATAACTCTGAAGCTTCACAAAAAATAGTAAAGGGATCCAATATAAGACAGAAGAGTCTATACCATCTATAAAAGCAAGAAAGGTAAAGTAAACCTACAAGACCCAACAACCACAAAGATAAAAGAATCCAAGCACTATAGGTCCAACAGTATAGTCATTTTCTTTCCTTACAGTGGTTTCAGGAACTGAGCCCCTCTTCGTGATATTTTTCTGAAACTTAGTTACCTTTTTATCCGCAAGTTGTAGCTGTCCTGAAGCCGAAATGGAGAGATTATTAAGTGCGGAGTTCAGATTCCGAGAATCGTTCGGTTCTATAACTGTGAATAGTAAAAGCGCAATTATCATTCACCACTATACTTTTATTGTACACAATCACAAAATCAAATGATTCTCTGAGTCTAAACTCGGCACGTAATAATCTCTCATATTTCTTGAAGTTGAAGTGGTCTGAGGGCATCTCCAGCCAAACTCCAAAAGTTTGAATGGCGTTGCTGCAGAGCTCCAACAGAATGGTAAAAATTACGTTATTTGCTTGCGGGTAAACAGTGGGACGCCAATAGTGGCATTGCACTGTTCATCCCCGCTATTTTTCTGTGTCTAGAAATGTGCGAAAAGAAGAAAAAATGTTACCTTCACAGATTTGGAGTTCAAATGGATGAATCACGGCATTTTTTTTAGTTTCACATCATTTTGAAGTGAAAAATGAGGTTTTCAGTTGGAGATGATCTGAAAAGAAGAAAAATGCAGTTATCAGTATATGGCAGTCAAAGTTGAGAAGATCAGATCGCTCCCAAGTGACAGAAAACATAGGATACTGAGTAATATAAATGAAGCCATGGTGATGGACAGATTCTGATTTCTTGAACAGTAAAAACAGTTTTAAGGTATTTAGTGCAAATAATTTTAAGATGTTTAGTGTACTGTGAGAAGAAGTTTAGTTATATGAAAATGACCAAATTTAAAAAAGAATGACTTTTAAAATTAAATAACTAAATAAGTAAAAAGAGAGGAAAAATTTTTAATTTTGAACATAAATCAAGTCGTCGTCATGTGGGCGACTTCGCTTGCCGAGTAGGCAAGTCGCCTAATACATGATGATTTGCCTTGCCACTTGGCATAAATCCTCTGCCATGTGGCATAAATCTCCTGCCACATGGCAACTTTTTAAAAAAATTGAGGTGCTATTCTCCTCTATTTCCCCTCATTTTTTCCCCTTCTACTTGTTTTCTCCTAAAATCTTCTCTTCTTTGAGTTCTCGTGACTAAAATACTCTTTTGGGAAGGTGTTTGCAAAAATTTTCATATCTTTCAACGAAAACCTATAAATTTTATGTATTTGGTTAATGTTTGGATGAAGAAGATTTACTCCCTTGAATTTATTTTTTAGATCATGTTTATTTGTTCACTTATGGCCATGAAATTTATTTTTTGTTTAAATCATTTTGGTCATTTGAAATTTTTTATCTTCTAGTAATATTAAAATGATACTTTTTTAACAAAAATGTAATAATAGATAATTTGTTTGCATTAAAATTTTGAAATTCAATAAAATAAGTTTGAGTAACAATCTTCTTTTTTTTTAAAATAGAACAAGTAACAAACATATTATTTCACATTTTTTATAGAGACCAAATCTATTTTAGGCATTATTATTATTATTATTATTGGCCGAGTCCAATTTTTTTTGAAAAAAGATGATTATTTGCTGTAGTTTAATTAAAGTATAGCTAAAATTTCAGTCAAATCATCAGTTGATATATTTATTTTTTGTAACATAATTATAATTAGAAATGTATCACCAAAATATTTTTTAATCATAAATTATAAGAAAGAAAATGAGATTGAAATATATATATGACATTCTATTATAATTATAGACTAATATTATCCACTTATGATATTATTTTTTATATTATTAATAATAGACATATGTTTGGCTTATAGCTTTCACTCAGCTAGATAATAGATTTAGAACCACAGCAGAAGAGGGAAGCCAAGATGAAATACAAACAGCCTTAAAAACCAAAAGAAAAAGATGAGTCTGGCTTATGCCACATAACTCACTTCTTCTGAACATTTCATTACTTCTATAACCATTTGTACTGCGCACTTAAGTGTTACAACTACATCTGAGCCTTAGATTGAAAAATAAAGACGAAGGCTTCGTTTGGGACAGCTTATTTACTTTTGAACTAGCAAGCTGCTTTAAGAAACGGTAAGAAAGCCGTCCCAAACAAAGATTAGGTTTTGTTTGGAACGACTTTCTTGCTGCTTCTTAAAACAACTTTTTAGTACAAAAATTTTAATTTTTATATTAAATACTCATTTTGAGAAGCTATAAGAAAGCCACCCCAAATGAGGCCTAAGAAGCAAGATAAAACACAATAACGTAAGGTTTGGTATCAAATTCCACGCAAGAAGCTGACACAACCAAACAAAAAGATCTACACTAATATTACAATTTGGTAAAGGAGGCCTAACGATAGGGGAAGCCATATGGACTAAGGCCATCTTCACTTTGGCTGCTGTCCTTCAGTCTTTGGAGTCACATTGTACACATTCTTCAACAAGTCCTGGATTTTGCTCAGCATCAACGTTTGTGCAGGATCGTTGCCTGCGCCGGCGCTGCCACTGCAGCCAATGCTGCTTCCATGCACGGCTCGTTGGCTATCCTGAAGCTTTATCTTCTCAAACAGATACTGCTTCTCGGCTTCGGCCTCGACCAGCCGCCGCTTGAGATACATATTGACATAGTCTTGCTCAGCCTTCTCATTTTTTGCTAAGGCAATGCTTTGCAGTCTCTCGACCTCCTGCCTGGCTTCAGTTGCCTTTAACTGGAACATGTCGGCTTCAGCCTCCTTGAGCCTCACAATGCTTTCAATCTCTTCCACCTGCTGCTTCTTCCTCTGCCTCTCCATTTTGAGCTCTGTGACCTCCCTGGCTTTGTCCTCGAGCTCGCGGTCGCAGGACTCGACTGCAAGTCGGGCCCTCTTAAGCATCTGCAGCTTTTCCTCAGCTACCATCTCCATCTTCCTCACTGCCTCCTGGACTACCTCTGCTATCCGGTTGCAAGCTTCCTGTGGGGAGATCACGCGACCAGGGTCCTCATTTTCATTATTCTTCGTGGATTCTATCTCAAGCTCTGTCAGATGAGAGGCAAATTCAAAACAAAATGGGCAATTTCATCAATTTAAGAATGCATGTACAGAAATCTGAGCAAATTTGTGTTTTAATACGTTCAGTGCAGAACCCCCTTCATCTGTTACTCCCCTGCCACAATCTATGCTAGGAGCTTCCACCTTTTTTCTTGTTAAGTTGTGAGACTATTTTTTGTCTACAAAGAATAGGCGCAAACATGCTTTGTTACAAGTCAAACTTAAAATTGGGTGAGTTTATGAAAAAATTTGGGGTGTTTTGTGCGTTAATCTTATTTTCTATTTTCTGATATTTATGCTCACAATGATTGAATTAGATTTCCCATTTTCTCAAAATAGCTTGTGCTTGAACTAAATAAAGTAGACTTGCATGTGCAAACATCTATGATGCACAAACAAAGACTTGGCGATATAGACATGACACAAAACGGACACAGGACACGTCAATTATTAAAAATATAGAACACGAACATTGTTGGAAATGGTATTATAAATTTCATATCTTAAAAATAGTGTATAGAAATTGAGTAAGCAAATTAGTAAATATTAAAATAATTGAGAAATAATAAAGCATTTAATAAGGATCTATGCTTAAATTGATTAATATTAAAATGTCAAGAGTCGGGCATCAATGTCGTGTTTCAAGTATCGAGATGGGAGATGATAATGATATCAAGAGTCAAACATCTATGTTGTGCCCCCCTCGGCCCCCCCTTTATCAGCCCCTGTGTGTTAAGCACTACATACCTCTTTGAGAAGCAATGTCAGTGCATCATAGACTAGAGGTGTCAAAATGGGTTTTCGGGTCGAGTTCGGGTCCAACCCGAAATTAATCCGTCTTCAACCCCCCTAACCCGACCCCAATCTAATTCGGGTTGACCCAACCCGACACAACAACCCACAAGCAACAACTACGAGGCTAGAGCAGGTGAGCAACACGAGCACGTGCTAGTGAAGGGGATAAGAGCAAGTGAGGGCGAGCGCGTGCGGGTGAGGGGGCTAGCACGTGCGGGCAAGCATGAGTGTGGGTGGACTACGAGTGTGGGTACAGGGGTGGGCACAAGCGTGGGAGCAACGCAGGCACGGGTGCGGGTGCGGCCGTGTGGGAGCACTACGGGCGAGGGGGTGACGTAAGTCAAATTTGGGTTTTTTGAGTTAACATGAACCCGACTCAAAATCAAAAACAGATCAAAAAAATGAAACTCAAACCCAACATGTTTGCAAAATGGGTTGACCCGAACCCAAATTTTTTTGAGTCAGGTCAAATATTAACACCCTTATCATAGGCAAGAAAATAAAGAATCCATAAAAGGTAAATGTTCCATTCACAATTAATAATAATAATAATAACAACAACAACAACAATAATAATAATTGTCAAATACCATCCCAGTCATTTCAATCGTCACTACCCTCTTAATCCCATGGCCAGCATGTAGGGGTGTCAAAACGGGTTTTCAAGTCGAGTTTGGGTCAAACCCGAAACTAACCCGTCATCATATGACCCGACCCGAACCCGTTTAGGAAAACAGGTCAGAAACTAGAACCTGACCCGATCCAAGTTTGGGTCAACCCGGATTGACCCGCCAACCTGTTTTACTTTAAAATTTTTTAAACTTCAAAATAACGAAAAACAAATCCAAAACAACAAATTACAATAAACAAACCCACAACAGCTAGCTAAATGGAAAAAATAGTAATGATAATAGTGTAGCATTCAACATTTCAACAGCAATTAACAGGAAACCAACCCAGCAATGCAGCAAATAGGCAACCCAGCTAAGTACAACATTTGATGTTTCAACCAATAGAAACCACCATGGAAGCAACCCAAGACTACGTGAAAAAACCGAGACCCTTAACAGCAAAACTGTAGAAACGACGAGAAACTGCGTGGGAGGTGGAGGCCAAGGCAAGAACAAAGACAAAAACCGAAAACAGATGAGTCGGCGAGGTCAAGAAGAGAAAGGTAATGCGATGTCGACAGAAGTCATAGAACGAATCAACGAATAAACACGGAACTCATATGAGAACGAGAACGAGAACGGAAGAGCCGATTAAGCCGAAGAGATGAATAACTGATGCAATAAAAATAATACAAGTATTGCAAACAAAAAGACTTCCTTTCCTTAAACATAAACAAACAAAACCTTACAATTTAAAATAAAAGGAACAACAACAAACAATTTAAACACGACGCAACGACAAAATACAAGTACGACTCAAAAACACCTTACAACAAGAAGATTGGAAGAAATATACAATGGAATGGTTACCATGGAGAGAAGAAAGTAGATAGAAGTCCGAGACGAAGTTTAAGAAGATATGGCGGTCGAAAAGGATAGCTCGCAAGCTAATCCAAACCCGCAAGTTTCATGCTCCAAAACTAATCACATAACTCCTCTAAAACAGCATCAAACAGCCCTATTTATAGGGAAAAGGAATCCGAACAGCCTCCTACCAGTGCCACCCAAGCTTCCAATCAAAATAGGGGAAAAACCCCAAAGAACAAGGCATGGCCAACCAAGGAACCGAGCAGCCAGCATCCAAACATCCAGCCCAAGAACCAAAAAACTAGGAATACCAACAAACACCAAGGGAAAGGCATGGTCAGCCCAGCCAGGACACCAACAACCGGCATTTATGGGAAAATCACCAAGAAAGAGGCACAGCCAGCCCAGGAACCGAGCAGCCAAGCATCCCAACAACCAAGAAAATCATTAGCCGAGACCTCCAAACACCAAGCAGCCAATGGCAAATAGGCCAAGCCCAATAGAAGAAAAACAACCCACCATTAAATGCCCATTAAGAGTAAAAAAATTGAACATTTGCCTACATCAATAACCCTAAAATGTGAAAACAAATAATGCATTAACACATAGTCGCTCGAACCACGCAACTTCACATGTTGTTTTCGTGTTTTCAGGTCAATCTGAACCCAACTTGTTTTTTTAAACGATGCGGTTTGTTGAACGCGAACCCAACCCGTATGACAAACGGGCTGACCCAAACCAAAAATTTTTTAGGTCAGTTCTAGGTCGAGTTTCGGGTCTGGTCAAGCCTTGACACCCCTACCATCATGGGGATCCGTGGGAGGCTCACTTGGATCTGTCAAATACCATCCCATCCATCCAACCATTCCTTCCCTCTTGATCCCATGGCCAACATGGGGATCCGTGAGAGGCTCACCTAAATCATGTAAATCTTCTTTCATATTTGGATGGTTGATTTAGGAAGGATTATACTAATGCAAGTTTGTATTATTCTGTAATTATTTATTTTCTTAAGATATCTTGTATAGATCTATAAATATGGATAGTTTTTTAACAAGTACAAGTTTTTTCCCTCTCCAATTCTCTTAATTTAATAATAATAAGAAGAATAATAATAATAATAACGATGACGAAAACGATAATACTAACAAGGTAGATCTCATGAGTGGAGAGAGAAGCTAATTTTTAATATAGATATAAGGAACAATAAAAAAACTTCAAAGGGAAGAGTTTTTGTCTTAGAGGCGAGATGATGTTGGCCTTTAAACAGTACATGATGGCTGACGAAGAAATAACTAATCCATGACGATGCATTCTCATGCTTCACAAGCAAAAAATGCAAGGACCTTAGGCTAAATAAACAAGTTCAAGGAGTGGTCATAAAAACAACCTCTGATACGTCAGGGGGAGCCCACCTTGTGTGACCCAATGAAGCTATTATTCATTATGTGAGGAGGAGAAATCAAGGAGAAGCTGTTTAATTGTTTAGGAATGTTTCATAAATTATATTTAATTTATTTAAGAAAGTTTTCTAAATAATGTTTAATTTATTTAGGAAGACTTCCTAAATTATGTTTTATTATTTATGAAGATTTTTTAAATTATGTTTAATTTAATTAGGAAGATTTCCTAAATTATGTTTAATTGTTTATGAACGTTTTCGAAATTATATTTAATTTGTTTAGGAAGGTTTTCTAAATCATGTTTTAGAAAGGTTTCCAAAATTATATTTAAATTATTTAGAAATGTTCTATTTATGTTATTGTGTTCTAGGACTATTTAAGAGGGAGTTGTCTAAGGTTTTAGGAGCATGTTATTGATGAGTTTTGTTTGTGTTTGGTATAGTTCTTTTCTTTGAGGGTTTACTAGCAACATCTAGGCTGATTGGGAGAGATGATCTACCTCTCGAATTGTAAATCACTTGTATCTTATTTTCTCTTATTGAAGTTTTAATAAAAAAACAGCCACCAATTTTATTTTACTGCAGTTTTTATATTGTTGTTTGCTGTTTTTTTCTTTTAAGGCGTATCAAATTTATATCAGAGCCATCGTTTTTGTTGATTTCTCCTCTTCACATAATGAATAATAGCTTCCCTAGGACCCACAAGGTGGGACCCCCCCTAACATATCATGCTCCCCACCCAATTGTGTTTCGCATGCATTGCGCAATGAAGCTAAATCACTTTAGCAAACAGGGATTTATTAGTTCATAATTTTTATTCACGTTCCCTATGGCCAATCAAATACAGGGAAATTCATTAAATAGCACCAACATAATGCCGTTCATTTTAACAGCAACATCACAGTAATAGACAATTGAAAACCAAATAGATGTAGATTGATACCACCGAGACTTACATTAACCAGTAAACTAGGCAAATGAAAAACCAAATAGTTGTCGACTGATACCACTGAGACTTACATATAAGATCTGTTTAGAATAAAAACAATATGTTATATTGTAACCTCACTGAAACCAAACCAGAGTAACACGTTGGCAAAGATGTTATGCAGCATTTTGGACATGATTTGGATATATGATAGACCAGTCATTGCAACGGTCCAGCCAGTATAGCCTGGATCGACCTTGGTCTACCAGTGGCAGAACAGAAGTTTCGCCCCGATCAATGCCGACCCCTTTGGGGGTGGGGTCCAGCAGCCAAATTAATGAGGCATTAATGAGAGATTAGGAGGAATTTTTTAAATTGAGGGGC